ACGTTCGACAGTGGTGATATTAGTAAATTTGCCAAAACATAGGGAAATGTAGTTTAGTCGGTTGTTAGAAACTGTTGCGTGAAAAGCTCGAGATCGATTGAGCAGCGTTTCCTTCTGAAACACACGGAACTTGGTTACATCAACAGGATAATAAACAACTCTTCAACTGCGGCAGTAGCGGTTTCCGAAAACGAGCAGGACTGCCATTGAAAGTTTAACTAAGTTCTATGTACATCGTCGAGGAAATAGAAGAGGATTTCCTGAGAGACCGAGCGACATCCCGTACATCGGGAAGCCAATATCAGGAAATGCCACGTGTCTCATAATTCTTAAAATAACGTTTGATTTCTCAGAAACAAGCAAACTTGATGGGATTGATCGGCACGGTTTTCCGTGTTTCTCGTATGTATATGAAAAATATCAATGTCTGTACGTAAAGATTCGCAAGGCATGGGCTTCGAGATTCAACAGAATACGATGAAAATCAATCTGAAATTAATAGAATGTAAAATATTTGCTGCGTCTTCTCTCCTCCCTTCCCCCTTTTCAAAAAGAGGTTTAATCGTCGATAATATCTTTTGGCTTCTTAAAATGCGGAGCTGTTTCTTCTTTTGTTCATATCGAAGTGGAAAAATCGAGCTTCTCGTCAAGCGTTTATAAAGCAAGCATCCTATTGGCCATGCAATTGAAAACAATGGATCTCGACTCGATTTCAGCCGTTGAATGGCTCTCGACGAACGATGCTCAGAAATCAGCTGTTAATTTAAAACGGGAAGGGAACCCGCGACGATCTCGCGTGTGTCACGTGCAAAGGACTCGGAGTGGACGCTCGTAAAAACATCCTGAGGGATTTTCGCAAAAACAGAAAGAAAAAGGATACTTTGATCGGTAGGTTGATCGATTCACCGTCCAATGTCGTCCACATCGTACGAAAGACTTTACCGGGGTAAAAGCCTGAGAACTGCTGATCTAGAGAGAATGGTAGAGGGCCCTAAGGACTAGGAAAAAGTATCAGTAAAAGAAGGATTCCAGTCGTAAAACACAAGAGGATAAGGAGGGGACAAAAGGAATGATCACATATTATGTCTAAATGTATATACATACGAAGATGTATATATAGATATATATGTATCTTTGCCTTTACATACACCGCGACTTACTTCTTACTCTTTGCTCGAACTAGATAAATACGCATACAGACTTAATTTCTAAATTACTAAGTTAATTATGAAAACGTCTACATCTGGTATTTATATAGTTTACGTAGAATACCGGTGTGGCAAATCTTTTAATAGATGACGTAAATTTATAATTCACTAATTCCATGAGATACTAGTAAACACACTTTGCAATTGAAAATTGACAAGTAATTCGTATAAATTCGAGTGCAAATACTTACGAGCAATACTAGTATATGTGCGTAAATAAACGTAAATATATGTAAGAGATTTTTGACAGCGTTGATCTCTTGGACGCCCTAATGAATGTTCTACACAGATACTAAACGCGACTAACTAGCTTCGCTAATTAAACCGGGATAGGAATATTAGGAATATTCGAATTAGACCACGGTGTATCGTTATGCAAATTTTCTAAGCTAGTCTACCCCGGTAAGGCGAACCACGAATTCACTGTGGAGTTTGTCCACGCGTAGGAAGCTCGATTACGTCGCCCAGATAATAAGGAAGTCTGTAACCGATGTTGGGAGAAAGCTGGAAATCCCGATAGAGTTTGTTGGGAAGTTTCATCGAGCCAACTCGGTCTCGCCAGCGAGAACGCGCATTTTGGATGGAACGCGTAGTGGAAAGTAGACGTACGCGTAAAGGGAGAACCGAATGCAAATTGGATTATGCGAGGCGAAATAAATGCAGCGACGTGCGAATACATGTCGAACAGGAGAATTTAGTGCGACGGAACGTGTATTATGCTCCCGTCGTGCTCGACTTTTACTACGAATTATTTGTGTCCGTGCATGCTGGTTCACAAAAGAATTTGCAATCAGCAGATCGCGCGAAACGAATGAAAATTCAAATCCTAAATATTTAAATGAAATTTCGCGTGATATAAATAGAACTACACAAAACTACGTGTTAGGGTATAATCTAAGATAGAAATAACGCATGTTGGTCCGCGAAAGAATTTGCAATCAGCAGTCGCGCGAAACGAATGAAAATTCAAATTCTAAATATGTAAACGAAATTTCGCATGATATAAATAGAACTACACAAAACTACTTGTTAGGGTATAATCTAAGATAGAAATAATTTGTAGCTGTTTCTCGCTACGAAGAAACTATTTTACTTAAAGGGGCGCTATTTAAATTTCGCCGCTCGTAAATGGAAAGTAACAACCGAGAGATAAGAAAGATAATGGAAATAAAAAGGAAATAAATTTGAAAATAAAGAGCGACGCGAGAAAAGAGTCTGCGTTACACAACGTAACGCTAGCACCGGGAGACTGAAAGAATTTTAATTATGAACATTTTATAAACGCGAATTTGAAGAATGTTCGAGATGAAATGCAACTCCTAATCACGCTTACGTAACACGCAATAACGCAAGAATCGCCTCTGGCGAGGCAGGAAGGGAGCTGCAAAGTTTGTCAGCTAATTACTGTCGTCGCAGACGCTGCATTTTAGAACGCAATAGTGATAAACGTAATTAAAGGGAACGTTCATAAAGGTTCGATAATTTCATAGCGTCACGGACAAACAGATTTCGAGCTGCCCTTCTTAATTATTATCCCGGCTCGATTTATCTCACTCCTCTTCAGCCATCGTGCCTTCTACATTTCTCATTTCCGGGAAGGTTGTTTGAAATTGCATCCGAGTAATTATGAAGTGAAACAAGCCGAGATCACCTGTACACCTACAATTTGTTACTTGTCCGTGCAATCCGGACGATTCTAAATTGACCAACTCTTGGCCGATCTCGTTCTCAAACAGTCGTACCGCTACCCTCTGGTTCTACTCGAATATTCAAATAGTTCCTCTTGTTTGTATTCCTTGTAATTAGTTCCAGTCGAACTATACTTGGACCGTTCGCCTTTTGCACTGGCGTTCAAATTCGTAATAAATGGTCGCGACACGCGGCAAACTAATACAAACGCGACCTATAGAATTTCTAGATCTGGAAATATTCGAAGTAACGTGATGAGCTAACAGGATGCTTTCTGTTTCTAAACGAACAAACAGATTCTGGTCGTAATATTATCGTCGGTCTATGAGGCGGAGGACGGTGCACGGCGATTCGATGAAAGGCGTCGAACAGGTGAATTCGACGGAATGAGGTACAATCGGAAAAAGAAGGAAACTACATGAAATAACGTTGATAAGCCAGCGGCAGATGTGGATATTGGTACTTCCCTCCGATCTCCTCGACTACAAGATGCCTGTTTACATCGAAGCGGCAATAAGACACGCTTGAATGCACCGTTGAAGCCTCTCGAGATTCCACAAGGAACGCTGTTAGAGAAATTTCTCTCAGAAATTTGCGTCTTTGACACTTATTTCGTGCAACGAGTGAATATACGACGAATAAGAGAAAGGGGGAAAATAAAAAACGAAAGGGCGAAAGTGGCCCCTCGTGAAAAACATAGCGAAAAGGAAGAGCTGAGATTAAACGATTAAGTTGATATTTAGTACTTCGTTACGCGTAACATTATGGAACGAGCGAATTAAATGAGACCGGCTCACGCGTTCTTTTCCTTAAAATTTCACGAACCCCTCACGATTTAACGAGTTCTTGATGCTACTTGATGATTCGCGTCCGTTGAGAGAAAGACAATGCCGTGCCGGGTAAAGAATGGAAGAGCGAAACTTCGTAATTCTCGAGGATAACCTGTGGAAGCTCTGAATCTTTTGGAAAACACGACTGTGAAAAATCCCGTTTTCAATGCTACTGTTATCAAGGTTACTATACGGAAGGAAAGCTAATAAAAGCAAATGAATAACGGAGAAAGTGAAACGAATCTGAAATATACTACTGAAATACGTTTACTCATCCCTTTGATAAATACCGCGTTGAATGGAAGTTTGCCTGCATGTTTTATCGCGCTTTGATAGAAATCGATGCTATATTTCAATTACATTTCGCGTAAAATATTTCGACGGGTATCGAATAAATTTCGATTCGGGGATTCCATCGCATTTAATTACAAGATAACTGGTGCGAAGATAGGTAAAAAATTAAATAGGGAAAAATATTCCCCGAACTACACGTTACAGGGGCATATAAATCCTTCTCTCGTGAAAACAAAGGACGGTAATTTATCATAGAATAATACACGTTAATAATACGATGATGGGAAATGCTGCAGTGCGTATTATAGATGCATTTGCAGCTTCAAAAGGTTAACTCTTATTGGATAAACTGCTGTCGAGACAAATAAATCTCGTACGTTGGTGATTCAATGTATCGACAATGCTAAACATTGTCTTCGAAATATGCTTCGCAACAAATACGATCGAACAATTTCCGTAGCGGGAATTAAAAGATGTTTAACGCGGAAAGATTTTTCGCGAGAAACGTTTCGTCGGAAGATTGAAAATTTCAACAAAAATAAAATACATCAACTGCGTGGTAATATAGGTAGCAAGGTAACACGTGCACCACGAAATATCCTTCTCCGTTAAGAACAGTATGGGCGGGCTGGTGATTCATTTCTCTGTGAGCTGAACGAATTGCAGAATGATACAGAATGCCGGGAAATCGAGTCAGTGGGTTACATAATAAGCAAATCTGGAATCAGGGACGTTCTCTCGAACTCTTGCCTCGGTGATGGAACTAGCAACTCTCCAGAGAGAAACATTTTCTCGGCGTTCTGCATTCTTCGTTCGGGATTGAGAGCAAGAGAGGCATAGGGGAAATAAACGAAAAGAGGTAGGTTCCTCAAGTAGGGAACGGAAGAAGAGAAACACGGAAGGTAAAACGACTACGGCGATGAACGGAAGACGCAATGAAAGAAAGAGAGGTATAAAAAGATAGAAAAAGAGAACTCACCCTTGCCAGAGCGACGGCTGGAAAGCTGTCCCATGCGAGTTGCGCTTCCTCGCCCGTGTTTCCATGACGTTGACCCGAGAGGATCCTCGCAGCCGTAAGAGTGCTCATCCCCATCCCGTCGCCGACGAAGAGAACGACGCCCCGCGCCACACCACCCGG